AGCCTCCCCGATCCCCCCCCCGGCTGCGGCGGGCTTGTGCCTCCAGATTTGCTTTGGTGGGAGAAGGGGGGCTGCCCAAACCGCCTCCTGCTTCCACCCCCACTCTGCAGCAGCCTTTGAAGATGCCCCATTTTCACAGCCTTGAATGCCTTGAAGATCTGTCCTCTGCTCCAAGATTGGGGCTCCTAGCCTCTTTGCCCACCGCATCCTCCACCCTTCATCCTCTGCTGCCTTTTAGCAACGCAGAGGTGGAAGGAGAGCCTGGGGAAGGAGGACAAAATGACCCTGCTGTATCTGCCATCCTGGTGCCCGTGCAGCATCCTCGGCCCACTGCAGCTGAAGGGATGCTGCTGTGTGAAGCCTGTCTCGATCCAGCCACTGCCCTCTATTTCTGGGCAGGGTCAGGGACACTCCTGCCACCTCCATCTCGCCAAAGCCCTCTCAGTCCCAGAGCCACAGGCATTTTGGGAGGGGGATGTCACGCAACTGCCCCGCTTTCCACCTTGATGGGTAGAAAGTCCACCCCATGGGAGAGTGCAGGGCCAGTGCGATGTGCTATTTGGGGCTGTGACCATGGCATCATGTAGGTGACCGTGACCATGACTGCCAGGCATCACGAAGGAGAGGGCTGTAAGCACCTTCTCAGCTGCCACGGTGCATTGTGAGGGCTGTCTTTGCCCACCCTGCCACGGTGTCTTCTCCAAGCTGGTGGCAGGGTCCCCAGTCTCCTATGGGAGATGGTGGCTTGCAACTCTGTTCCTCTCCTCTCCTCTCCCAGGAAAGGCGCTCGCCGACACAGCTCATCCTGCCCATCAAAGGCTCTTAAAGAGAGCAAATAAAATTGCAGGCTCCAATCGATCCAGTGCTCCGTAATGCTGTCTTTGGATGTGGGCCAGCCTGTCCGGCCAATTGAGAAAGCAAGAAAGGCAGCGGAGGAAAACAAAGCCATCAAGGGAGCACTAAAGGCTTTTTCTGCCCTAAGGCTTTGGGCAGTGCCTCTGGGTGCGATGTGTCCCCCTCCAACCTCCTCCACCTCCTCCATGCTCCACCAGCTGATGTCCACCTCTCAGCCCCTGCTCAGCACCAAAAACAGCCCGAGCAACATGTTGCACGGGCACTTCTCCCCGGGCTTCTGCACGCAGCCTCCCTAATCCTGGCAAATATTTACGTCCCCATCGCCTCATGGAGCTGCTGAACTCTGTAACGGCAGAGTTCCTTTCCGTTCATCGTAGCAAACAGCGCCTGCCCTCCCTAATCTGTCTATTAACCTCTCGCATGGCAGGAAGCCACTTTTCCCCACGTCTGCTGATGTCCTCTCTGCAAACCCGGTGTGTTTAATGCCCGGCCGGGGCGGCTTCTCAGCAGCTTGGGCTGCAACCACAGCCTTGCTGCAAAAGCTTGAGGCAAGGGGATGAAAGGCTGTGCCAGAGCTGGTGCATCCCACCTGAGCACGCCGCTCACAAGCCGTGCAATGCTCCAGCAAAATTCAGAGCTGCACCAGGCAGCAAAGCTGGTGCCAGGGTCATCGTCTCTGCAGCCCCTGCAGAAGACTGGTGGCAGGGACAGGGTTGGTTTCCCACCACACAGTGACCCTGGGCTTTGCATCCATTCGACTGCTGTCTCTCTGGCTTGTCGGAAATAGCTGTCGCTTGACTGGCTTCAACATCTCTGCTCAGATGGGGAGAGCACAACAAGTGGTCCTCGAGGATGAAACAGCTCTGGATGCATCAGCACAGACACAGATTTTTTTCTCCCTCTCCATCTCTGAAGCCAGGTCGTCCTTGTACCCTGAGTCCCACTGCGCAGGGGAAAAGTGTGACCAACCATTTTAGAAACCACTAAAAATGATCTACAATAGCTTTTCCTAGCCCTGCTAGGTCATGAGATAATGGACATTAAAATTGTGGCATTTTTATATATAGAAAAGTTATTTTAGGTCATTTTCAGAGGTTTCTGAAATGGATCAGTTATAATTTTCCTCTCCTGCTGAGGGCTGAACGTACTAAATATGCCTTGCTCCACAGGTGGAGGAATAAAAAAAAATAGTACCATTAAAAGTTTTAAGAGGCCTTTCCAACACTTCTGTAAGAGGTATTTCTTCTGGTGCACTCGGGGCACATTCGGGCGCTGGGCTGCTGGGGGATATCGATCCCACAGCGTGCTTGTGGGGTCACCTGCGTAACTCATCATCCCGGTCTCAGGCCAGCAAGCCCTCAAGGTCCATGACAGCAGCAGGTACTTGTGCTAGAGCTACAGCCGTG